ATATCCGCCTTCTTGTACTAGATTAATTGTTAATTGTAATTTAAATAAAATTTGTATCACCTTGTTTTGATAAATAGAGAAACACATTTAAATTGAGACTATACAATTGAATATTAGTTTATAGTTTATGAACACTTTGTGAGTTAATCTATTATATTATAGAGATATAATTCTTACCTATTTTGTTTATACACAAAGGGAAAGTGAATATTATTTCCGCTGCAAAATTAGTTGTGATCTTTCCCAACAGTCCGTTATCAGAGGCGGTTACATACATACACGTTATATAAAACAAACTGGAAGATTCGATGGTAGGCTTATCGGGAATGATTAAATTAACGTCATCCAACTATTCCATGCGGACGTCTCGAATGGAGGATATCCTTTATTGTAAGGATTTGTATAAACCCATTGAGGAAGAAAATAAACCGGAAAATAAAACCGAAGATGTATGGAAATTAGAGAATTGGAAGGCAGACGAGTTGATACGACAACATATTAATCAAAGCATTTTTCAACATGTTGCTAATGATACCAATGCCTACAAACTTTGGAAAAAGCTTGAGTCAATGTATGAGAGGAAGACAACTTTAAATAAAGTTACATTGGTGAGAAGGTTGGTTCGTATTCTATACAAAGAAGGTAAAAATATGGCATAACACATGAATGAAGGCATTACTAATTAGCTAACAAATATTAGCATGACAATTGAAGATGAAGTCCAAGCCTTATTACTCCTTAGCTCATTACCCGATAGTTGGGAAACTCTTGTTATCACGTTTGAGCAATTCGGCTCCGAATAGTAAACTCACCCTTGACATGATGAAAGATAGTTTGTTCAATGAAGAAGCTAGAAGGAAAGAATTTGCCTCCACAAATAATCAAAGTGAAGCACACATTGTTGAAAGTCGAGGAAGACCAATGTTTAAAGGCTCCAAAAGTCAAGATAAATCGAGAGTTAGATTAAAATCCAAGAAGAGGCTTACTTGCTTTTATTGTCATAAGGAAGGACATAAGCAAAGTGAATGTCGAATATTGAAGAGGGACATGAGATAAAAAAAAATGACAAAGAAAAATGTCACTGCTATATAGAAGTTGGTGATGAAGTTTATTTTGCAAGCGATGACTCATGTTATAACCTTACAATAAATGAATATTGTAGCTGGGTGATTGATACAGGTGCTTCATATCATCTAATTACAAACAAAGATTACTTCACATCTTACACTAGCGGTGATCTTGGCTTTGTGAGGATGGGAAATAATGGATCCTCCAAAATTATTGGTATTGGAGATGTTTGCTTGGAAACTAATGCAGGGGGAAAGATAACACTACACGATGTCAGACATTTTCTAGAAATTCAACTGGTAAACTTAACGATTTAGGGTATGCGAATCACTTTTCCAATGGAAAGTGGAAGTTGTCGAGAGGGTCAATAATAGTTTTTCATGGGAAGAAGCAACAAACCCTTTATGTCACAAATGAAAAGCTCAACACACAGTTGAATGTAGTTAAAAAATGTTCGACCAAGCTATGGCATAAGTGGCTCGGACAAATGAGTGAGAAGGGATTGCAAATCCTCTCTCGAAAGAAACTCCTTCCTTTGAAGGATGTTCATTTGAAATGTTGTGTTAATTGTTTAGCTAGAAAACAACACAGAGTGTCATTTTGAAGAAATCCACCATCTAGAAGACCACGTGTTTTAGATTTGACTCACACAGATGTATGTTATATGATAGAAAAATCTCTTGGTGGGGCATCTTATTTTGTCACATCTATTAATGACCATTCCGAAAAGTGTGGGTCTATCTTATGCATTCAAGGAGTTTCATGCAAAAGTAGAGAAAGAAATGAGGATGAAATTAAAATGTGTACGATCTGATAACGGTGGTGAGTATAGAGGTCCATTTGAAGAATACTGGAAAAAGTATGGGATAAAGCTTGAGAAAACTGTCCCAAAACACCTCAACAAAATGGTGTGGCCGAAAGAATGAATCGTACGATCACTAAAAGAGTTCGTTCAATGTTGTCTCATGCAAAGTTACCCAAATCATTTTGGGAGCAGGCAGTTAAAAAAGCAATTCATTTGATCAATATTTCTCCTTCAGTTCCACTTGATGGTGATGTTCCACAAATGATATGGTCCGGGAAAAATGTAAACTATAAAAGTTTGAAGGTCTTTGGTTGTAGGGCCTTTGCTCACATCCCAAGGGATGAGAGATCAAAAGTTGATAGCAAGACAAAATAGTGTATTTGTCTTGGCTATCCTGAAGATGAGTTCGGTTATAGGTTATGAAATCCTACTGAAAGATAGATTGTCAAAAGTAGAAATGTTGTCTTCTTTGAAGATCAAACTATTGAAAATATACAAAATAAGGAAAAATCCGCAACGTCACATGAAGAATCACCTATAATCATGAACCCAGTTCCTTCTCCATATATAATTAATGATCACGGGGGAAAAGTACACTAAGAAGATCAACCTCACAATATAGATGATGATAAGGATGATAATAAAGAGAATGTGGAACAAATGACACAACAAGAAAGTCAACCACCATCACCATTAGAGTTAAGAAGGTCTAGTAGAGATAGACAACTTCCAGCAAAACTAGCTAGTGGTGGTATTGAAGGAAGAGAGCCAGAGTCTTATGAAGAGGCTATAAGAGATAACCACCAAAAAGAGTGAATACAAGCGTTGCAAGACGAGATAAATATTCTTGCATGAGAATCACACATTTGATTTGGTACAATTACCAAAGAGTAGACGAAACCTCAAGAGTAAGATAGAGACCGAAGAAAATATTGCGCAACCAAGAGACAAAGCAAGGCTGGTTGTGAAGGGGTTCAGTCAAAAGAAAGGTATTGACTTTAAAGAAATATTCTCACCAATGGTGAAAATGTCGTTAATACGAGTTGTTCTCGACATGGCAGCATGCATGGATTTAGAAATTGAATAACTAGATGTGAAAACAGCCTTCCTCCATGGTGATTTGGAAGGAGAAATATATATGGAACAACCCGAGGGATTTCAGGTAGGGAAAAGAGCACATGGTATGTGATTAAGGGGGTTTTCCCCGCCCAATCAGTGTACGCCACGTGGACCAATCAGATCCTGCCAAGTGTCCTCCATCTGGACCTCTCAGGGGCTGCCACGTGGCACACAGCCATTTGTCCACCATGGACCAGTCAAGCCACGCCATGTGGCCTATTGATTACCAGCTTGGAAGGAGGCCACCTAAGCCCACTTCCCGGGAGAAGCCCAGTCAGATATAGGGTTTACCAAAAACCCTATAATTAGGCACGCTTCCCAAGGCTATAAATACATTAATTAATCCTCATTAAACGGGATTCAGCATTTAATTACTCTCACCTAGAGAAGTCAAAACACATTGATCACTCCTCACCTTGAGGGACCAGATCTCCCACCTTTACTTTTCCGCACTTATTACTCCTCAAAAAAGTATTAGCTTGACCGTTGGAGGCGGAGCTCCCACCACAAGGAGTCTCCGTTGTTTTGCAGGTACAGGCGCAAGGATTCCAGTCCCGGAATTGTAACTCTCCCGCAGGACATCAAAAAACCCCGAAACATTATGTCATTTAAGTAAGAGCTTGTATAGTTTAAAACAAGCTCCGTGTCTATGGTATTGAAAAATTGAATCCTTTATGAAGGATCATAAGTATCACAATATGACATCGGATCATTGTGTGTTCATCAAAAGATTTGCAGAGGGAGATTTTATTATGTTACTCCTCTATGTTGATGATATGTTAATTATTGGATGTGACACCAATAAAATTGCCAACTTGAAAAAGGCGATGAATAAGTTCTTTGCCATAAAAGACTTAGGACCAACAAAACAGATAGCAGGCATAAAAATCACCTGTGACAGTTAAAATAAGAAGTTATGGCTGTCACAGGAAAGATATATTAAGTAGCTACTCAAGAGGTTTAACATGCATAAGGCTAAACCAGTAAGTTCTCCACTTGCAAGTCATATTATGTTGAGTTCTCAACAATGTCCTACAAGTGAGAAAGAAAGAGAAAAGATGAATAAAGTTCCTTATTCGTCTGCAATTGGTAGTTTATGCTATGGTCTGTACGAGACTGGATATTGCCTATTCGGTAGGTGTTGTCAGTAGCTTCCTCTCGAATTCAGGAAAAAGAACATTGGGAAGCTGTAAAATGGATTTTAAGGTATTTTTGTGGCACATCAAAATTATGCTTATGCATTGGCCAAGGAGATCCTGTGTTAAAAGGATACACAGATGCAGATATGGAAAATGATGTTGATTCGCGAAATTCAGTATTAGGCTATATGATGACTTTTGCAGGGGGGGTTATATCATGGCAGTCAAGGTTAAAAAAATGTGTTGCATTATGAACAACGGAAGCCGATTATATTGCTGTGACAGAAGCTTGTAAAGAGCTATGGTGGATGAAGAATTTCCTACAAAAGTTAAGATTAAACAAGATATAAACACTTTACTGTGATAGCTAAGGTGAAAAATCCTACCTTCTATGCCTATTCCAAACATATAGACGTAAGGTATCATTGGATACGAGAAGCCTTTGAAGCCAAGTTGTTGCATTTGGAAAAGATCCATGCTGACAACAATGGTTCATATAATAACAAAGATATTGACCATGCAAAAGCTTGAAGTTTATTGAGAGAAAGCGGGTTTGAAAAAAAACAAAAAAAAAAAAAAAAAAGTCCCATAATAAGTCGGAAAGGGGAGATTTGTTGGTTATTCCTCTTTATTTGGAAAAGATTGAATTAGCAAAATAATAAGAGAAAAAGAAGGAGAGTAGTAAGAAAATCAGAAAAAAACTAATGGTAAATTATTTAACGATAATTTGCATCATTAGTTATTTAGTTATGAGCTGATTATAAATATGTAATCAGATTAATTATTAATTGCAATTCAGATAAAATTTGTATCACATTGTTTTGATAAATAGAGAAACACATTTAAATTTGAGAGTATACCATCGAATATTAGTTTATAGTTTAGAAACACTTTGTGAGTTAATCGATTATATTATAGAGATAAAATTGTTACATATTTTGTTTATACACAAAGGGAAAGTGAATATTATTTCCGCTGCAAGATTAGTTGTGATATTTCCCAAACACTTAGTTTGTGATACTTTGAAAATATTATTATTCTCACTAATCTGACTCACAAGGAAAGTTGTACAATATTTTCTAAAAGGAACCACATCTTAAACATTAGGAGCTTAAAGAGTTGTTCGATACTTAAAAGGCACTTGGGTATATTATTGCATGCCTTAAGGGTTGGTGTGACCCGGATTGGGCAGCATTCCCAATTACTAGGTGTTCTTTGATAGGTTAGCTTGTGTTTTTGGGTCAATCTCCCTTTTCTTGGTAAATAAAGATGCATCACACGATGTCCCGCTCTTCTATATAGGAGGTTGAATGCTGCCAACTGCCATCACATGTGAAATGAAGTGGTTAAAGAGTTTGTTATTGAACAAAGGAGTTTATCATTCACAGGCAACTGAATTATTTTGTGACAATCAATCAGCTCTACGTATAGCCAAAAGTCGGTCTTTAATGAACGAACAAAGCATATTGAATCATATTGCCATGTTGTTCGTGATGCAATAACAAACAGATTGATAGCACCATAGTACGTTTCTACAACAACTTAACTAGCAGATTTCTTCACAAAGGCTATAGGAAATAAACTATTTGATTATCTTCTGTCGATATTGGGCATTTTTTACTTTCATTTTCCAACTTGAGTGGGGTGTTGAGATATCTTTGTGATATCCTTATTATTTGGTTAAATATATTTAGGAATAAAATGGTCACCTAATGCTAGAGTTTTCCATAATTAGGGTTGTTTCATTATCTTAAAGTATTGCCACAATTACAATACTCTGTGTACTAGATACATACAAATTCTCAATGAGAATCAAGGGCAAGCATTTTAGCCTTCACATAAATTTACACAGTTGTACAAAATAAGGAATAAATTTGTTGTTAGTTTGATTGGACGTGTCTGACAACCCTAAAGGCATGTATAATGTTAAGATTTAAGAGTGGATTATTGTAGCTCAGACCCCAAGTGCAAAACATTTCTCTAATCATAGCTTCACCTGCTGGTTGGCTAGGCTTGCGAAAGCAAGACCTAACAGGAAATTGTCCCTATTCAAGGTATGTGATGATGGCTTTTGTCGCCTGTGGCAATTGCCCTAAAATCGTCTCCCACCTTTTCATCAAATATCATTACAACTGGAGTTAAGGGTTTGTTCTTGGTAATTTGCAATGATACTGATATGAAGTTGTTTGAAAATGAGCAAATCAGAATTATAGTAGTTTAAGATTTGACAATCATACCTCTTTTGTTCAATTGCTTCTACTATATACTCTATCTGGAAAGCCTACAACCAAATTCTGTATGAACTAAGTGTGCGTTTAACTAATTACCCGTTCAAAGATATCATATAATTCTAGAGTTCATAAAGTGTACGGTTTAAGAAATAGCATCAGGGTTGTGCTTCCTGGGAACACTTCAAGGAAAGACAAAGAATGGTTTGAGACTTGGAGTATCTGTGATCTGTTGTAATGCTTACAGGGTCCAAGTGTGTGACAGGAGATTTTGAAAGTGCTCTACCAAGTATGTACCTCCTGATTTCATCATCTTGGTATATATATTTGTCTTTTTGGGCAGCAAAGCTTTTAATTACTTACCGAGATAAATATACAAAATGCTCTGCTGCATCAGTGTGTATTGTAGTTTCTCTACCACAGAAAATAATCCGAAGTCCCTTACACCCCACACGTGAGATAGTCCTGGAAATTCGATGTTATGACATTAAGTATCCAGAAGGTTAGCATAACTACATGTAATATAATGCAACGGTTAATTTTTTCGAAAGATAAGGGGGTAAAATGAGAACTTGAAGCTAATATATCCTTAATTAGCCAAATTTTTAAAAAATTAAAGAAGCATGTCATTCCATCAGAATTAACAAGAATCTCTAAGCTCTAGGTGTTTCGGCCAACACAATCAGATAGCTAAACTTCTAACATTATAAACATGATTCAAACCCAAGATCAATATTTAACAAGAATCTCTAAGCTCTAGGTGTATCGGACAGCACAATCAGATAGCTCAACTTCTAATATAGTAAACATGATTCAAACTATGTGCCAAATTTCTAACCAGATAAGAAATGGTGACTCTTTTGCTGGGAATTCTGCCAGTAAATTAACTACTTTCTCTGTTCTTTTTTACTTGACCTGTTTCTTTTACTGCAAACTTTAACAATCAATAACTTTAATTATTCATTAGTAAAAATTATAAAAGTTATATATTATGATAGTACTTATTGAGACAAATTCAAAAATATCTCACATGAATATGTTCTTGCTTACATATTATTCACAAAAGACGGTCAAAGGAGGGTGGTGAATAGCGTAAAAGTCAAAGGGGGTCAAGTAAAAAAGAACGGAGGAAGTATGTTTTATGGCATCCAAATAGAAGAAACTTTAGTGCTACAAATTTAACCTAATAAGGGAGTGCAATGCCCACTTTTTATAAGGAAGTCATCGTTGATTGCCTATAATGATATAATGTTCAGAAATCTTGTCCTGCAGTAACCTGCAATTCAATGATTTTTTGATACTTTAGGCACTTAGGGAAATGATTTAGGCACACCAAATTGATTTTTGGCACACCTCAATGTGAGAAGAGCTTTGAAAACTGCGCTCTCACAATGGGTGTCCCAAAATCAGTTTTTGGTGTGCCTATATCCAGTGGCGGAGCCAGGATTTATAATTCGGGGGGACAAATTTTGGAGGTTAAAGTTTCGGCAAAAATCTCAAGAAAAAAATTGATAACCTAAATTGTTTAATATTTATTTGAAATCACATATGCCAATTATTTCTATATGGAAAAAGAGGGGTAAAAAAGTTTTATTGTATATTAAGAAAATTATCCAACAAAAATGAATAAATTTATATTTGTAAATCCTGTTATGTAATCACATAATTGATAAATACGAATTAATTACCTTATCATAAAGTCAAATAATTATCGTTAAAACAAATTGATGGTAGATATGAAGGGCCAGGGTTTGAGTTACATTCGAAAAAATAAACTCAACTTTTTCAAATCAATCATATTATTAATATGTATTTCGTTAAAACACAGTTACAAACAATTAATTAATAGTAATCTATTTATTAGAAATGTAAAAAAAAATTGAGTTTAAGCACACTTAGTTAAGTGATAATTAAAAACAAGAAGTAGGAAATAAGAAATAACATTAAAAATCCTAAAACAAGAAATAGGAAATAAAAAATCAAATTAAAAAGGTTGTTGAAAATTAGAGTATGTAATAAAAAAAACAAGAAGTAGGGGAAAAAAAAAACAAAAAAGCTGAAAAACAGTAGAGTAGGGAATCGAACCTAGGACCAAAACACAACCTTACTAAGGACTCAACCACCAAACCATATTCAATATTGTGATATCTACTGTAAGTATATGTTATTTATAGCCTTTTACTGTATTTTCTTGATTTTTTTTTTTAAAAAAAAAAATTTTTTTCCGAAAATGGGGGGACAACTGTCCCCCCTTGTTCTAATGTGGCTCCGCCACTGCCTATATCACTTTCCCCCTATATACTCTAGTTGTCAACCAAGCACACTATACATGTATTTATTGACCATAAAATGATGAATATTGCACTAAGTAGAAGCTACTTTTTGATACAAGCAATTTACTGATATGCTGGCACTCTTGGAAGAGCTATATATATATATAGACATTTGCTTGTCACTTAGCATCCATACCACTCATGAAGTTCTCACTCTCTTGAAACATTGTTGGCTATCAACTCTTAATACTTTGGAGATCATCATGCAAATTTAATAACTGTGGACTGTTATGCAGTCTGGGAAGAAGAACTTGGCAAAGACTAAGCATCATTGGGAACAAAAAGGGAAATTTTTAAATCAAAATTCTAAGGTTAGGACATGGTCAAACTGTTACCTTAATCTTCACTCATGATGCCAGCAAGTAGCAAAGTCTCAAGCTTTTGTATCTGTTCTCCAAACATAACTTCATTTGTCCTCTAATTTAATCTTATTTTGTTGTTGTGGCTCACGACATTAGAAAGACTACAAACCTCAATTTACAAGAACAATCCTTTACTTGTCTAAGATGCACAATAAAACAAAACTAGGAAGAGTCTTAATATTTTTCACATGTTGGTCGCTGTAAGTGCATAGAAACATTTATCAGCCTAACAACAAATTCTTATGTGCTTTGAATTACAAAGTTTGATAAATATGATTATAGCTAACAAGCTTAGGCTGTCTCTGCTTAAGTCCATTAAGTATGTAGCTCAAAATCCAAGATCATGCAGGTTAATGCACATAGTAGAAGATATAAATGCCAGGGTAGTAGAATTTCCTAAAAACTACTTATCTCACTTGAGAAATGAGCAGATTAACCTTGAATATGGATGAAAGAAATTCCATTCTCCTACTGCTGAAGGTATGATTTGGCTGCTTCCGCTTTCATTTGTACCTCCACATCCTTAGAGCACCTTATTAGTCTGTTTTCCTACTGCACACGACCAAATCATACATGTCAGCAAGATTGTCATGTTGAAAAAGAAACAAAATAAAATGAAGGGGGAAAAATAAAAGAAAAGAGAATGAAAGTAAAGGATAATGCTTAGCTTCTAGAGGAAATAAGTGGGCATGTTTTGACCTTGTAAACCATAGATACCAATTAGATAAACTTCTGCGACGGAAACAAAAGAAAAAAGAAAAGAACCAAATCGTGCACTAGTTAGTTTTGCAATCTGCCAAAGCAAGGACTCATAGAATAAACATACATATCCAGTAAAACCAACACATTTCGACATCAAGAATAAATTCCCATAAACAGCTGCATTAATTCATTTAAGGTTTTTACCAAAAGACACATAACTTCGTCATTTTCAAATAAATAACAGCATTCTTCGTGTTTATCCAGTGCACAAGATGCTTTAACCTAAGATGTTGTCCAATCAATTTTCAGCCTTATTTCTATGCATCAAAGTAGCTCTTTCTTGAAGAAACTTTCAGAAAATGAATTTCTTATTGAGCAAACGGAGGATTACTGTTACTATAGGGGCAAGAAAGGTTATGTAGCACATACTAGCATAGCAATGTCTTCAATATATAAATATATCACTGTAAAAATCCCCTAAAAAGCATCTTGTATGAGGAATTTCCTTTTTCAAAAATTTTACATTTATGCAATCGCAAGAACTCATCTTTAACTACTAACATGCACATGATGCCCCTTCCACTGAGAGTTTATCATAACTCAGTCCATTGAATTGAAGATTTAAATAATATAAGGTAGAATCACACTCATGAAAATAAAAGCTCCAACATCAATTATTCTATAAAATTATGAGAAATTTAACAGGAAAAAGATGTTAATTAAAGGAGTTTTTCTATATAATATGACTGTGACATGACAATTCAATATGAATCCCTATTTATTGCATTATACAATATAAGCAAAGCTAGGGATAAGTGATGGGTGTAGCCTTTCACATACCAACACATAACCTCTACTTTGCCCGACCTCTATCATCAATGAAAAGTTTGCAATTAGCTATCAAAAAGACCTATTAAAAATAGTCCTGCTTTCTGAGGTGCTCAATTGTCCAATAAGATTGCAGAAAGGGAGGGTACTGATATGACAAATATAAACCAAGTGTGACACATATACTTGGAGGCTCATTTTTGTTTTGCGTTACATAATCAGAAATGTTAAGCCGAAACAACCAACATGGCCCAAATTATAGTAAATTTAAAACATTTAAGCTTTAGTAAAAATAAAAATAAAAACACCATCAAATAAGATGTATTATAACCAAAGACACTTGTTATCTCAAATGTCTTAGGTATATGCAATCTTATTGCAAAAATCTTCATACATATTGATTGTGTGATAAGAATAATATTAACATGTCAAGAAGCCACTTAATAGTAAGAAGTACGCCAATTTTGTGAAACTATGTAATACTACTACTTTACAGCATATAATTACAGAAAAAGTCTGAATAGGTTATAAATTCAGTCCATACTCCATAGTAATTCCAACCCAATACCACTCAGACTAAATTTTGTCAAATAGTTTTTAACTTTTTATACATATTTTCTCTCATTTAATCTTGCTTCTGATCAACGCAGTGAAATTGAAAACCATAAAAATGAACACTTATGTTCTATCTGCACCTTATCTCCATTTGAGCTTGTTGCTAACTTCATCATTATTAAACAACATTTACAAGAGAATAAAATAGCCATGTCAGATCATATAAGTTTCTAGCTGTCAAAATACACAACCATAACTCGATATGAGTGGGCATCTGTCTTTTATTCACATTCTACTATATCATTGAGGGCATCTAAATAAGGCATGAGATTCTAGATTTTGGGCTCACAAACTTTTATGGGCTTTCCCCATCAATATCCATTTCTATCCATTGTTGCTTACTTGCTCAGTAAACCAAGAAACAATGAGTAAAATTCCAATGCATACTAAGAAGTTAATAAGCTAACTTGGTGGAAGCATTACTCAGGAAAAAAAAAGGGGGAGATCTTGTTCCACTTATATGATAGATTTTCATGACCACAGTTTTTAGACATCTTTGTTCGGATGAGGTTGTGTTTATAAGAATGAATGTGGTGCAGACATAACTCAATGTTGCATTCATGTTTTTTTTTATATCTAGACTGCATGAATTTATATATGGACTAATGTTCCAATTCAAAACCAGAAAGAAATTATTAATTCCAGGTAGTGTGGACAATAAAGTATAAAGTAACAAGGAAAAACCTGCTTGCCACTTTTTGGTGTGAAGCTTTGGAAAATAAAGCCATACAGGCAGAAGTTTGTTGTAGTAGTAACCTCCACTGTCAATCTCTTAATTCCAGTAATTTGAACATGCTCCCTTAATTCCACAATGTCCTCTAAAACGACGAAAAAGAAAATTAAAACCAAAAAAATCATAAACTGAAGAAACAAACAAGAAGAAAAGGTAACGTAAATGATTTCCATTAGCAAAACATCATTCTTTAGATCAAAGTCAAATCATTTCAAACAACTCAGAAAGTTAAACTTTCTAAGCTTTCCTTTAAAGAAATAAAGAGAATGTGCCACTGCCAAATTGATCAGAATCTCACAAATTTGTACAATATTACCATTAATAAACTTCCACATACGCTCTCTTCAGTAATACATTTTATCAACCACACAGACTATCATTAGTCTATGATTAAATTACACAGGCACAAATTTCTTTTTCATTCTATTTGATGTACAGTTTTTCCTGCAGGCAAACTGATTCAAATTTCAGCATTAAACCGTTAAACCCGGATATTTACCAGTGAAATTCCTCTCAAAACAGAGAACACAACACAAGCTATCCGTATCAGTTACAAACTTATATGATACAGTCTAAACTCTAAGTTACATGGTTATGGCTCGCGATGATTTTCCCAGAGACAGAAATCTTTTGCTACAGATTCTTATTAAAGAATTTCCATAATAATGAACAACATCTAAAGCTTTACCCTATGAGAATATAAAAAGATGAAAAACCTGACACATGTTTCATATGTAGACGGTTGGAAACCATTAAGGATTAGCAAATAGATAACGATACTGCAGTTTCTTATGAATATAATCTCCTGCTAAATCTAATCAAATCAATCTGGTTGGTGGGACCCAAGAAGCACAAAAAAAAAAACTTTATTCTATCAACTACAAGGCTTATTCAAGTGTAGTGCTGATAGCGCAAACAATATGCTAGTTGCAGAAAAGCACTTTAAAAACAATTACTATAGCATATCATATGTTATGTATTATTGTACGTCTATAATAGACAAGATACACCTATGATTCACAAATTGTTCGCCCAAAATATTAAGCTAGCAAATAACATATATGATAATTGCATAGAGGTCACAACCAAGCACCGAAGAAGAAAGAAAGTAACAGAGAAAGAGCTAAGGATTAAAGGAAATGCCGAAAAAAGAGATATCAGGCAAGAAGAATTTAGTCGAGCGTACTGCACAATAATTTAACCCATTTCAAGCAGGATCAATACATACAAAAACAAGTAAACCTCTAAATATAAATAATGGTTCTAGGATGATATTTTGTACAGTAAACATCAATTATCTGAAGGAAGATCAGCTTTTAATTGAGAATACATAGCGATCAAGTGGTCCTGATTGATCGAAACATGAAACAGTTATTAAAAGTACGCGCTGTTTATTCATACATTATATAGGCGTACACAATCATATTCTCTACATAAGTTAGTGGGTACAGCATAAAGCTTCTTTATGCTAAATATGTATCCTCTCTCTTTCTTCAGCAGTGATTAGTACCGGAAGAACCTTCTTTTTCCATCAAGTCTCATTACTGCAGCACCCAATTATCTCCTCAATCATGCTAGCTATATACATATTCTCTTCTCTGCTCCTTCAATCGCAACAACCATATTAGACAAACACTTCTCCTTTCTCTTCCCTAGTTTCATCCACCAAGGCCGAGTCATGGCTTTTCAATCTTTCTGTTTATCTTCTTTCGTGTTAATTCTTTCTCTCCTTAACTCTGTCCATTCCACAAGTAATCAGCAGCCTCAATATTTTAACCTCATGAAAAACTCTCTCTCAGGTGGCGCTTTATCTTACTGGAATGTCCAAGATGGGAAGTCATATTGTAATTACACTGGAATCACTTGTAATATGCAAGGCCAAGTCACAAAGATCAATATTTCAGGCTGGTCACTCAAAGGCTCATTTCCATCGAATGTTTGTTCCTACCTGCCTGAGCTGCGTGTGCTGGATATCAGTAACAACTTTATTCAAGGCCGTTTTCCAGACGGCATCATCAACTGCTCTCTCTTGGAAGTGCTCAATATGAGCTCCTTATATCTCAGTGGCAAACTTCCAAATTTCTCTCGCATGAAATACCTTCGTGCCCTGGACTTATCGTACAATTTATTCGATGGGGATTTCCCCATGTCCATCATGAACCTCACCAATCTTGAGATGATAAACTTCAACGAAAACAACAACCTTAACCGCTGGGAACTTCCAGAGAACATCACACGACTGACATGGCTTAGGTCACTGGTCTTGTCAACATCCAAGCTTCAGGGTCTAATCTTACCATCCTTAGGAACAATGTCTTCCCTTGTTGATCTTGAACTAAGTGGCAATTACCTTCATGGACAGATTCCACCCGAGCTGGGGAAGCTGAACAATTTGAAGTCGCTCATGCTTTACTACAACGAGCTCACAGGTACCATTCCAGAAGAGTTGGGTAATCTAACAAAGCTGACAGATCTGGATATGTCAGTTAACAAATTGACAGGAAGAATACCAGAGTCAATATGCCGCCTTCCCAAACTCCGGGGCTTACAGATATACAACAACAGCCTCACGGGAGAAATTCCAACTGCCTTGGGGGACTCGAAGAGTTTGAGCTTCCTATCCATCTATGACAACTTTCTGACAGGGGATGTTCCCAAAAACCTTGGGAAGTCGTCTGCTATGACTCTGTTAGACTTGTCAGAGAATCAACTGAGTGGTAAATTGCCACCAGAAATCTGCAAAGGAGGTAAACTCGTGTACTTTCTCGTACTATCTAATAAGTTTACAGGAGAAATACCTGAAACTTATGAAAAGTGCACATCACTAGTACGTTTTCGTGTAAGCAATAACCAGTTAAAGGGCTCAGTACCACAAGGACTTTTTGGTCTTCCCCATGTGGCAGTTATTGATTTAGCTTTTAATCAATTGACGGGTCCTATAAGCCCCTCGATTGGAAATGCCAAAAACCTATCAGAATTCTTTGCTCAGAGCAACCAAATTTCAGGGGCTCTGCCTCCTGAGATCTCTGGAGCAGTAAGTTTAGTAAAAATAGATTTAAGCAACAACCTTCTGTCTGGCCCTATACCTACTGAAATTGGTAACCTTAAGAAGCTAAATCTCTTACTGCTACGAAGCAACAAGCTTAATTCTTCCATTCCCGATTCACTATCTGAGCTAAAATCACTTAATCTCCTTGACCTGTCAAACAACCAATTGACAGGGAAGCTTCCTAGGAGCCTATCTGAGATAATCCCCAATTCTGTCAACTTCTCAAATAATAATCTTCATGGTCCCATTCCTCTCTCCCTAATTAAAGAGGGTCTAGAAGACAGCTTCTTAGGAAATCCAGGGCTCTGTGTGACAACATACACAGACACATCAGATAGAAGCTTCCAACTTTGTCAACAGGCTTGCACCCGGAAGAGAGTGAATCTAATGTGGGT